GTGTGCCCTCCAGGAATGGAGTCCCTGCCTCCTCCAGTCCTGTCGAAGTCCTGCAATCAAATCCCAGCAGCCTTCAAAGTCTGATTCTCTAGGAATTCCTTCTCCCATTGCTGGACCCCCAGGTTGGGAAGCCTGACGTGGGGCTCAGAGACTTCATTCTATTTCGTGGACTTCTGTGGTACAAGCGTTCTGCAATCTGTGAGTCACCCACCCAGCAGTTATGGGACTCGACCCTACTGTGATTGCACCCCTCCCACCATCACACTGCGGTCTCTCCTCTGTCTCTGGATGTGGGGCATCTTCCCTGGTGAGCTCCAGTGTCCCACTGTCAATGATTATCAAGCAGCCAGTTGTGATTCCGGTGCTCTCACAAGAGGGATTGAGAGCACATCCTTCCACTCCTGAAGAGACTTTTTTGAAGTCCAGAGGGTTGTTTATAAAGGCTTTTTCTAATGATCCCAAACTCATAATTCGCTGTTTACCAAAAGTCTTGGTCGTAATAATGTCATTAGTTTCTATGTTTTTATTTTCTAAACTGTACATTCACAGCTTATGTTTCTTTGTGATTAATATATATTGGGGAGAAACATTTTTTAGGAAAGTCATAGTGAAATTTGACATGTGATTGGCATGATTTCATATTTGAATTCTTCCTCCATTATACAGGTCCTTCCAGAACTCAAGCACTGTAAGTGGAATATAGGTGCATAGTCCTTATTATATCTTCTTTCCTTTGTTTTTATAATAAAATGCAGTCTGGTCAGGATTGTACTTTACTGATAGTACTTTACTAAAAATGACTGCATTCTTGGGATCCCTAATCCTGCAGTTCAAGTCATTAAAGATTCATTTTGTTGAGTCCTTATCAGAAACAACAATCTGAATCTTGACATTTTCTATCCAGCCTAATGGCAGAGCTCTGTGGCTAGAGTATGCTACCAGGTTGGTACTTTTATACTTTGTCTATCTTGTTTTTGCTTTAAAGATAAGACTTAAACCAACAACTTTTTCCCCTTTAAAGTTTTACTTTGAACCTTAGAACTCAATCACCTCCACTTAAAATTGTTGACACAAGCAGCTAATAACCATTTTTTGGTTTCTGCCTAACCTTTTAAGAAGTTGCTATTAAAGCCAATTCTCTGGGTGTTGCAGTGAACGGTAGTTCTTTTTCTTTCTATGATGGCCTATCCACTTTCTCTACTCTTAGCATGGAGGAGGTATGCGTTCACATAATTGGAAAAATCTGGATTTCTGATGCCAAAGGGTTAAAAGCCTCTTGGATTTCTTTGCAGTGATATACAGCCACTATTTTATTTTTGATCAGTGGCATTTTGGCCACTGTTTAATTAGTGTACTGAGCATTACTGTCAGCACTAGGGTGTTTGTTTTTCTTGGGTCTTTCATTTTTGGCACATGTGAATTTTGTTTCGTATAAAACAAAATGACTTTCTCTTGGCCTCTGATGATGGGTTAAAATTAAAGAAGCATCTAGTTTTTGTGTGGGGATGATCCAGGATTATGTTGTGACTGATGTATATTAGTTACTTGTACATTTTTTTTTGGATCTTTGCAAGGGGAAAACTACAAGTAACAAGTTTTATATAATTAATTTAAATCTGTTACAGTTTTTCATGTTCAGGATAAACAATTTTTCAACCTTGGGTGAAAATACTTGCAACAGTTTATGGTGACTGTGTTTTACCTTAGGACAACTGTTGCATGCAAATTTGTGTGCGTGTGTGTGTGAAAACACTTCAAAATTGAGTTAAAAGATGTAAATTTAAAATTGGTTGTGTATCTAATCTGCCCCAGGTCCAGTAAATAAACAATTCTTTTTAAAAACAAAAACAAAGTGAAACAAAAACGTATAGTTCCCATGGGGAAGGGGAGGATGGATAAATTAGGAGACTGGGATTGACATATACACACTACTATTTATAAAATAGATAACTAATAAAGACCTACTGTATAGCGCAGGTAACCCTAATCAATACTCTGTAATGACCTATATGGGAAAAGAATCTAAAGAAGAGTGGATATATGTATGTGTATAGCTGATTCACTTTGTTGTACACCTGAAACAACACAACATTGTAAATCAACTATACTCCAATAAAAATTATAAAAATAAATAAATAAGTAAGATTTGAACCTACAAAAAAAAAGATTATGCAGTGGCTGGTTAGATATTCATATATTGATTTGCTTAGTGGGTTCTATTGAATATTTAACATACACATTTAAAGATTTTTAAAACTTATTTCTGAAATTATGTCATTCTCCTGAATAATCAAGAACACTAACCTGCTACCATATTCTCTTTGCCACTCTCTTTTGTAATATTTTGGGTTTTAATTGCATGATTAATTACCCTCACAATATGCCTCAACATTAATTTTGACTCAAATGTTTTACTGATTAATTTACTTACTTCATTTCCTTGTAATCCATACAAATTTTACTTTCTTTGATGTTGTAATGAATTATATTTGTAATTAATTCCATCAGAGCTATTCTAGGAACTATAATCTGTGTAAATACTTTTGTTACCCAACACAAGTTCATGTGCCAAACAAACAGAAAAGTCGGAGTTTGGAGCAGAAAAAGGTTTATTGCAGGGCCATGCAAGGAGACATATGGCTCTGTTAGATGGCCTTTGTCTCTCAGGGCACATATCTGCTGCATGCCTTCCAAGATTATCAATTTCTGGTGTTCTGGTGGTATTTTTCTAGAGTTGTATGGTTTTTATTACTTTTCAAATTATACATGTGTTTTTATTATTTTAAAGAATATGAAGAGAAAAAAAGGAGGTAATTATGTGTATTCAGTCTGCCACCTTGTTTTTACTTTGTAAATCTCAATGCTGTCTTGCCAGTAATGGTTCATAATTGTTATTTTATTTTATATTTTATTGTGGTAAAATACATATAACATAAAATTTACCATTTTAATCATTTTTAAGTATATAGCTTAATAGCATTAAGCATATTTACATTGTTGTGCAATCATCACCACTAGCCACCTCCAGAAAATTTTCATTATCCCAAACTGAAACTCTGTACCCATTAAACAATAAATCCTCATTTCACTCTTCCTTCAACCATTGGTAACCACTATTCTACTTTCCTTCTATGAATCTGACTCTTCTAGATACCTCACATAGGTGGAATCATACAATTTTTGTCCTTTTGTGTCTGCCTTATTTTACTCTGCATGTCTTCAAGATTCATCCATGTTGTAGCATGTATTGGATTTTCCTTCATTTTATGGCTGAATAATACTTCCTTGTACGGATAGACCACATTTTGTTTATCCATTCATCCATTCATTGACACTTCAGTTGTTTCTACCTTTTGACTACTGTGAATAATGTTGCCGTGAACATTAGTGTACAAATACCTGCTTGAGTCCTTGCTTTCAATTCTTTGGGGAATATACCTAGAAGTGGAATTGCTGGATTATATGGTAATTCTATTTTTAATTTTTTGAGGAACCGCCTGTCAACTACAAATTGGCACTTGCCATTGGCACTTGCCATCTACCTCCAAGGTAGATGTGCTGCTGCAGCTGCTGACTTTCAACACCCCCTGAAAGGAATTCAGGGTGGAGAGCAGAAATGAGGCACTCTGTGCTCTGGGAAAAACTGGCAGAACATGTCTTCAGATAGTCAGATATTTTCAGGAGACAATTTTATGAGTCCAATTCTTGCATCTCCTAATATCTAGAAAAGCACTAAGCACCTTCATGGTGATGATTGCTCCTCGTGACTAGCAGAAACCTTCTGCAAAAAAATATGTGCTTGATTGCATGTACTCCCCCTTCACCAAAATCACAAATATACTGACCTCCCCCAATACCTCTTTGGAGCAGTTTCTCAGAGCTATCTGAAATGCTATCTCCCAGGCTATAGTCCTCATTTCGCCCCAAATAAAACTTGACTCACAACTTGCACGTTGTGCATTTTTTAAAGTCGACACGCCGTACTATTTTCCACAGCAGCTGCACCATTTTACATTGTCACCAGCAATTCACAAGGATTCAATTTCAACAAGTCCTCACCAACACTTGTTTTTTTCTGTATTATTTTGTTTTTGTCTTTGTTTGTTTTGATAGCAGCTATCCTAATGGGTGTAAAGTGATAGCTCATTGTGGTTTTGATTTGCATTTCCCTAATGGTAAGTAATGTGTATTGTTATCTTTTATCGATACATAACAAACTTATTTTGTCCAACTTAACTATTTTTACTTTGAAATATACTTGTCTTTGTAACATTGTGATCCCAGATTTCTTTTTCATATTATTTTTCCGGGTATATCTTAATTCATCTCTTTATTTTCTACCTTAAGGTACCCTTTGATTTTAGGTCTGTTTTTGTAAACCGTAATGGTGGATATTTTAAAAAGCATTCATTCAACACTTATTGAATACGTATTATTTGGTATGTACAGTGCCAGACAATGAGGATGCAGTTGTAAAGAAGGGAAGTACAGTCAATACTGGAAGACAAGCTTTACAATTTAAAGGAACCCTTTTAAAAGAAGTAATGAGTGTCATGAAAAGGGAAATACTAGGTCTATGTTTTTGTTTTTACCCAGTGTGTCAGTTAAAAAATATATCTTTTATCATAGGCTTCAAAATTTAGACAATTTTTTTAATTCAAAAATTTGTTAGATTCTAAGTTTTCTCAATAACCAATAAGGAGCAGCAAACGTCTAGTCGTCCACATTTTCTATTACATATTCACTTTCCCTCCTACTATCATTGTCATCATAATTATGAATAAAAAGGGTGCGAGAGAGGACATGTGGTTACAGCAGAGGCTCCAACTTCCTCTGCCTTCTAGCAAGACTGCTTTTTCTAGCAAGACTCTAGCCTTCCCACCGTTGGCCCTTCTCGTACCCCGTAGAGTGCCGTAGAGTGCAGACGTCTGGGAAGTATAGTTCGAAAGGAAAAGCTCTGCGGTTCTCCTTTGCGCACGCGCATTTTTGTCCGGCGGCCTGGCGGCGGTGGCGACAACAAATATCCCTGCTCTAGGTGTTCCCCTTGCCTGCAGTAAGGGCCGCAGCTTCGAGTCCCCGTCCTGGCGAGCCCAGGTACAGACTGCCGGTGAGAATGGGCCCGGGGTGTGCGCCTCCTACGGCGGAGCCAGGACAGAAGGCCAGCCGCGGCGCGAGCCCCAGCTCTGGGCGTGCCAGCCCAGGCGGCCTTGGCAGGTGAACGCAGCCCGAGAAGGGGGCGTTGCCCGGGGAGGTCTCCCCGCCCGACAGCTGGGCCTATGCCTGGGGCAAGGCTCCTGGAGAAACGGCACTCGAAAAGAGATTGCAGCAAGCTGTGCCTTGTTTTCAGGGTTCGTGAACCCTGGGGCGGTTTTCACCTTGTTCCATTGGTTGGTTTTTCCCCCCTAGAGTTTAAACTTTATGTTTATCCGTTTTTGCCAACCTTGTTTTTTGACATTGTTCTAGAGTGAATCCTAAGTGATTTAACTGTTTACTTTTTTGTTTAGAGTAATTTTGTACGCTTGCAAAGTTACTTCCCTTTTCTCTAAATTTTAAATTCATTTCTAGCCAACGAAGCTATTTCTTCTAAGTCTTGTATTTTTGGGGGTGTGGGCGTAGGGAAGGTGGATAGGTAATGTTTCCTTTTACGTTTAAGGAGCTTTGATAACTCTTTCTTCGAAAGGAAACACAGTTTCCAAAAACACAGCTAATTTTTGGTTGACTACTTCTGAAAAGGACATCAATTCTTAAAATGACTTTTGAAGAATTATTATATCATAATTACTGTAGCTCAAAGTACCTAAATGCAGGTGTGTGGAATATTTATGTCATTTCTCAATGATTAAACATTTCTGTGAGCCCGGTGTGACTGCCCTTTACACTGTTAATGCATATCAGATAGTTCTAAGCCCTTAGTTTGATTCCTCTTTATTCATAAACCACTGGCTGAAAGGTAGCAGGCCCAGTGACTGGCAGTCTTCTTACTGCCCACTCCTGGTTTTGGTGGTCAAGCACAGGGCCCCTCCCACTCAGGAATGCCTAGGCTTCCAGGTTCCTTCTGGTTTCCTTCTGCAAGGTGCTCAGCGTGTGGAGACTTCTTAACCTAGCCTAACCCTGATGAGGACGGGAGTGCAGACAGGATGGAGAGACCTCACAGTTTCTTTCAACGTTTCAGGTGCCTTCTCCAAGTGGAGCAGCAGGAGGGAGACATGGCCACAAGATTGCTGCCAGCCCAGGCTCTGGTATGTGAAGGCTTCTTTCTTGAACTACCTTCTGGGTTCAGAGGTGGGGAACATGCTTCATCCATTGTTGAGCTTTTCTAGGTAATGAAGCCCATTGAGGGACTAGAAGGCCTGGTAGTTGAGGAACTTCAGAAAGAAGGTGTTTCCCTTGCTGCAGGGCCAGTCTCATTTTGAATTTTCTACGTAACAGTTAGTGCTTGTTGACTAGGAAATGAATGGGCCCACAGGCCCCATGCCAGTGCCACACCCAGAGCTTTGTGTGGGATCCAGGTCTGTTTTGCCTTGGGGAGGGCAGAGACATGGGGGAGTCAGATCTTTCCATAATGCTAGGAAATCGAAGAGGAAGGTCTCTATCCTCAAGGTATTGAGAACCAGTCTACTCCAGTAATACCTGGTGAGGGTCCAGGTGATTTTCTAAGAAGATCCTAGAAAGAAGACCTCTGAGTCAGCAGGTGTGGTCAGGGATACTCCCTCCTATTGTGCGATTTTGCACATGCAAGCAGGATTAGGCTCGTACAGATGGTGAAAGGAAAAGAAGTCGCAATTTGGGCAGTGGTTTGCGGGGACAGATTTGGGAAGTGAGCCTTCCCTGAAGTGGGAAGCATCTGGTTCACAGTGATTTTTTTCCCTTCTTTGCCCTTTCACTTGGGGAACTATAATTAAAAACATAATCTCTTCCCAACCCAGGAAACCTTTCCACAAAGGTAGAAGAGAAAGAAAACACTTTTATTATTGAATAAACATTAAGCCAGAATGTAATGTGCATCACAGGCAATCCACTAAAGAGAGTGCAAAGACAGAAAACTCATTCTTATATAGGTAAGTGCTGTAACCCAATTTCGCAATTTGGAAATTTGTCAGGTGACAAGTTAGGCCCATCTCCTCCCAGGAATTGGGAATGTTGGCACATTCAAAGAAATGGTTGCCAGGTCCTTGAGGAAACAGTCCTGAGTTGTGAGACTGACAGATGGTTTATTTAGCTATTAAAAAGATTTACATACATTTGGTAAGGACAAAGAAAGAAATTCAGAAAGAAAATGGAGATTGGAGTGGGAGTCTTCTCACTTATTTCCAACAGCCTCTTAGTTTTGTTTTTGCCCTTATCAGTCAGAGAACATCCCTGGTCTTGTGATCTCCTTTCTGGGTTTTGGGGATAAAGAGAAAGTGTGGAAGTATTTCTGCCTCTAGAAATGTGTCCTAAGGAAATAGGCTTTGCACGCTTTTTTGTGATGTGCAGGGATGCTCAATCCAGAATTTTTAGGGTTACAAAAATGGAAACAACCTAAATGCCCACCAGTAGCTTAGTTACCTAAATGCCCACCAGTAGATTAGTTAAGTAACCATCTAATAATCTATAAGTAATCTATACAGTGAGATGCTGGGCAGCAAATAAAAAATGTTGTTGGATAAAGTTACCTGTGTAACATTTTATTTTTGTTTAAACTTAGAGCCATATTATCATGTAAAAGTCTGAAAGAACATACAGCAAGAAGTTAATAAACCTTGTTTCTAGTGGTAGAAAGTTAGATTAACATTCCTTTTTCTTTTGCTTATTCCTAATTTGCTTAAAAAAAAAGATTCTTAATAATAAAAGAAAGGGGCCACTACTTTAAAAGAGGTGACTTGTGATGCAGTGAAGCGGGAGACGTTACTGAAGGCAAGTTCGTGTCCCTGATGCACAGTGAGGCAAAACTAACCAAAACGTCGGAGTTTGGAGTGGAAAAGGTTTATTGCAGGGCCAAGCACGGAGAAAGGATGGCTTGTGTTAAAAAAAACTTGAACTCCCTGACTGTTTTCGGGGATAAGTTTTTTTAGGGAAAATTTGGGGTGAGGGCTGCAGAGTGTGTGACTTTCTTCTGATTGGTTGGTGGTGAGGTAACAGGGCAGTGTCCAGGACTCTTGCGCTCAGCCTTAAGTAACATTCTCTACCTGGATGGGGGCCTTAGTTCCTGCAGAAGAACTCAAAGATACATTGTTATGTATGTCCCTTGAGCAGGAACCAGGACCCTACTTTTTGGCTGCACTGTTGTTTCTTGACAACAGAAACAGTTTCCTTTGTTTGTCTGTTCCTTTGTTTCTGCATTCCCTCACTTCCTTGATTAGCAACTGTTTGAATATGCTCTTTGGTGTTCAGGAAGGTCTAGGAAGCTGAAACCCTTTTTCTGCAAACAAGAAATGGGGGACATGGAAAGGCTCTTTGTATACAGGAGGGCCCCACAGGGTCCTGCTTGGTATCAGAGAGAGGTAGAACAAAGACTTATGTGGTGGGGAGAGAGAGTCCCAACTGCAGCCTTCTCACCTGGCTCTTCAAAGATTGTGCAGCTCACCACGCTGGGCCCGCTCCTGGGAAAGCCATGCTTGGGGCATTCTCCGAGCCTCCCTTATTGTGACTGTCAGTGTCCTCTTGCCCAGGACACAGATGGCCCACGGTGATGACAGAATCCAAGCACACCTAATCCTCCTTGAGTGAGTGTATTGGAGGCTCTAAAACCTTCTAAAACCCAATTCTCATGTCTCACCTGTAAAATGAGTTTGGTCTAGGTGATTGTACATGTCCATGTCTAGAGTTCAGTGTTTCCGTCATTCTGATTTTATTTAATTATTTCAAGTGCTTTACCTTGTTTGGCTGCTGTGTTTCATTTTTCTGGGGACATAGTGCATCACTGACAGTAGGTAGGTGACAAATATATATGTGATCAGTAATTGAGGGGTGGTAAGGAAGTATTCAGCCTGAAATGCTCAGAACCTAGAGTGGTGACAGTGTTGCTGCCCAGTCATCCCACAGAGGGTATGGCCCTGGGTGAGCAAGAATGGGTTTCTGTTACAGGAGTCTGTGACATTCAGGGATGTGGCTGTGTTCTTCAGCCGGGATGAGTGGTTGCATCTGGACTCTGCGCAGAGAACCTTGTACCAGGAGGTGATGTTGGAGAACTACAGCACTCTGTTCTCGCTGGGTAAGGACCTTTCCTTGTGATGTAGAATCTGCTGGGGGAGCACCTTGGTGCCCTCTCCAAGGAGGACACTTGGACGGCATGGCCAGGTTCAGCCCACAGGTGGACTCAGAAAGTAGCGGTTGCTATTGCCCTTGGCCGCCGGGACAAGTCTTGGCTTGGTAGAATTGGTGATGGGCATCCTCTCTGTGCTTTTCCTGTCTTCTGTCCCCTGAACTCTGTCCCTCTGGGTCTCACAGGAGGTTCCAGCTTAGAGGAGTGCACAGCCAGAGCCCTAACTTTCTTCCTGAGACCACCTCCTGGCCATCCTCTGGGAGCCCAATTTTAAACCCTTCTCAGAACAAATCTCTTTCCTCTCAACTGTCCCTCTGCCCCAGACTCTGGGGCTGGATCTGAGTGTCAGACTGGCCACTCACGTCTGCACCATGGATTCATTCTCTTTCTTGCTCATGAACAGGGATTCTGTTTTCCAAACCAAAAGTTATCCTCCAGTTAGAGCAAGGGGAAGACCCCTGGATGGTGGAAAATGGAGTTTCTCAAAGCACATGTCTAGGTGAGTGACAGTAATTGGGAAATGGGTATAGCATTTTCTGACTGCTTGGGCTTTGCTGATCAGTGAGGAGGCTGCACGCAGGAGATATTGATGAAGGCCCTCCTTGATGTACCAGGCCAGGTGAGAAATGCTGGGAAGGGCATATCCTCACTTGACCTTTTTGAGTACTTGGTACAGCAGGTTCAGAGGGAGAGTTGAATTCTTCCAATATGGGTTGCATTTTTGTCATATGTCCTTTGTAATTTGAATGCAGAATATGTAATGCAGTATGTAATGTGTAAAGGTTTGTGATTCATATCTTCCCCCTTTTTCCTTGCTTTTACTGGATTGACTATTTTCTTAAATTATTTTCTTTTTATGGTCTGAACAAACCTTTTATCACTACAGTGCATTTCTCGTTGTCCCATCTTGGGTTTTTGCTTTGACTTATCTGTAACTTTTTACATATGTTTCAGCTAAAAAAAATACAAAAAAAGAAAAAACAAACAAACAAAAAGATGCATGTATATTTTGTACTATGCAAGAGAGAGAAAGCAAGGTTAGCAAAGTGGTAACAATTACTGAATTCAGGCAGAAGGTTTGCAGATGTTCAACATGCCTTTTTCCTAATTCTTTTGTGTGAAAAATTTTAAACTAATATGTTCCAGACCCTGGCTTCTAGGACATATCTCTCAATCTCTAAAACCCCTGTGGGTTGCTGAATCATAAGCTCTTGCTTTCTGTTCTACTTCGAATATTGTCTTTGTTTCTGACACCAGAGGATGGCTCACTTTTTGAGTTTTGCTGCTTGTCCAGAATTTATTTCTCTTGATAGCAAGAGATAGCCTTTCTATGTCAGTTCAGTCTTGTGTTTCTATTCATGAACTCTGTCTTCAGATTTTTTCCTTTGGTCTGACTAGAATATTTACTGAGTAATGTTTTCAGAAAGGTTCATGTGTACTGTATTTGTGCATGTCTAATATCAATTCTTTTACCTCTCCTGTGGGAATTATGTTTGGTATCTAGAGTTCTGGCATCAGTTTTTATTCCCAAGAATTGTTCAGACTTTGCTCCACTGTGTTGGGGCACTGAGTATTGTTGATTAAAAGTCCTCTGGAGTTTTTTTCCCCTCTGTTTCCTGTATAGAAAACATTTTCCCCCTTTTTTGTCTTCTGTCTAGAATATTATAAGATATCCTCTTTGTCTTTGGAATTCAGAAGTTTCATTAAGTTATATCAAGGAGGTTTGACTTTTTTGTTTTTGTTTTTAATATTATTTGGCATTCACGGGGCCCTTTGCTTTGAAGACCCAAGTCTTTTTTCAGTTCAGGGATCTTTTTTCTACCACATACTAAAATATATTCTGCCATATACCATGGACAATTGGAGAAGCCTCACTGTAAGAATAACAATATAATAAAATAGAAATTCAATCAGAACTGTAGAAAATAAATGTATTTATTATAAGAACCAGGATGGTAGCCAAGGATGAGTTTCAAATTTGGCTGTGAGCTTTCTAGTTGGCAAAGAAATCATTAGTTTCAAATTGACTGTGTTCTTCTTTTGCAAGCATTAAAAAAAATTAATTATTTTAAATTTGTTTAAGGTGTGCATGCTATTGTAAAAAAAGAGGAGTAAAAAAAGGAGATTCACTTGACATTTTACCAACTGTGCTGAGCCATTGTTAATATTTTACTATTTATCTTTTCAGACTGTGAATATTTGTTTGAGTGTATTTGTACATGAGAGAGAAAGACACATGCACGCAGAGAAACAGATTGATTATACATATTGTTCTTGAATTTGTTTTTAATTATGAATGTCATTCAATTATTTAGCCATCATTGAATAGAGGTCTACTTCATTGAAAGAACTCTAGTGTATTGTTAAGCCATATTTTATTAAACAATCTTCCTTTTGGAAATTTTAGTTTCCCATTTTTCCCTATTAATATTGCTGTCATGGCTATGGAATACAAAAGTAAATATAAGGGGAAGAAGGTCTGAATAATTATAGCACAAAGGCATGAGCATTATGATTAAAAAGATTTCTTGAAAAACTACTCAACTTCATTATAAATCAATGAAATTCAAACTAAAGGAATGAGATACCATTTTTCTCTTTAATAGGGAATATTACCAAAGGTTAAGAAATACACATCCAGTGTTTTGCTACTGTTCTGAGCAATAAGCAATATCTTTAGTGGGATTTTGATTGGAAGTCTTTCTGGCTTTATTAAAATCAATCCCAGGCTTAGAAATTTATCTTAAGAAAATAATTCCATAATTGTGCAAAGTTGCAAAGATAGTGTAAAAGAATGTTTGTTATAACATGAGGCATTACTAGGAGTAACTAAAGCTAAATGACTCCAAAGGAGATTTATTAAATATGATATATTCATGCACTGGAATATTATGCAGCCATCAAAACGATGATGTCAGCCTACATTTATGGACATGGAGAGAGTTCATGATTTTTTTTTAAGTGAAGTGGGGGAGGGGGAAGTTTTAACCACTTTAATTTTTTAGGTAAAAATGTTTTCTTTATATACAGAAAAATTTTGGTGAGCTGAATTCCACACATAGCAGTGATTATATTTGCATGAGGTGTTTATGGGTGAACTGTATTTTCATTTTTATAGTTTTCTGTATTTTCTTAATTTTTCTTACAATGATTATATATTTCCTTTTTAGTTAAGAAAATGAAAGCTCTTTCATAGGGTACATTCATTCCTTTTGAATCAGTGATCCCATTTCTTGCACTGTATCCTAAGTGATCAAAGAGGTAGACAGAAAATCATTTTCAAAAATGTAGTCTTCTCGCAGTATTTCCTATATGGCACCCATCTCCATTGAGTTCCCCAAGCCAAAAGCCATCATTCTTGAGTCTTCTCACTTACTCTGTACCCCCTATTCACAGGTGAACATACCTGTCATCTCTGCCTTTAAAATATCTCAGTGTGCCTGATTCTGCTACCATGCCAGTGCAGACTGCCATCACCTTCCTCCAGGAAGACTGTGGCAGCCTCCTAATTGGCTGCTCTATACCTGTCTTTGTTCTGTTTTCCTCTGCCCCCAATTACAGCCCATTTGTCACACAACCATCCCCCAGTGATCCTTAGAAGAAATTCCAAACACATTCTTATATCTTACAAGATGCCACATGATGTGGCCCCTGCCCACCTCATTTCCTCCCATTGTAGCACTCTCCCCTAGTTCCCTCTTGCCTAGGCCACACTTGTTCTTTATCTGCAAACACACGAAGCTTACTCCTGCCTTAGTGCATTTGTAATGGCTCTTCTTTCTAGGTGGAATCATCTTTATACCCATGTTTTTTCATGGCCAGCTCTTGTGTGTTATTTAGATCTCATGTTTAACTTTATTTCCTCACCACCCAGTTTAAAATATCAGGTTGTTCACTCATACTACACATTGCCTTGTTTTTGTATATTTTCTTACAGTTCTCATTACTCCCAATACTTTATTTGGTTACTTGGTTATTGTCAGTGTTGGCTACTAGAATGTAAACCTTGTGAAAATTGGACTCTTATCTGGCATGTTCCCCGTAACCCTGAGTCTTGACCTTTGCATGGTAATACACAGTGGATACTCAGTAGATATTGTCTGAGTGAGTCAGTGAAGTTCATTACAACATTATGCATAGCACTCAAATGAGTCCCAGAACTTCAGTAGCTGAGGTCTGGTGTTTCAAAGAGCCTTTTAAGGGCAGTGCTTCTTCCACTTTTTGTTTATAGCCCCTCTGCAGTTTTCTCTTGGATTTGGCTTGAGTACACTGGTGGCTGACCTGGGAGATGAAGCTGAATAACAGTACAACCTGCTGTACACAGAAATGCTGTATACCCTGCTGACCTCTGCTTTGTTACTAGATCAGGCCTGGCTCTACTGGAAGAGCTGCCCTCTCAGTTACTCAGCCCACCCACACATAGGTTTCTTCAGACCCTTTCCCACCCAGGCACATCTTCCATCCTGCTTGTTTCTCTTGCTCTTCTTTTTTCATCCTTTTCTAAGGACTCCCAGGATACATTTGTTAGCCATCCTTGTATATGTTGATGTCATTTTTCTTTATTCTCAGTGCAACAGAGACTTACATGTTTCATTTATTTTAGGATGGGACAGCTTGTTTGAAACCACAGTTTCTGAAGAAGAAAATCAGGAAGTAATGAATCAACTCATAGGTGATGGTCCTTTTGACTTCAAGTTGGGAGAAATTTACATAAATGAGGAAAAACTAGAGAATCAGCAAGGCAAAAAGAACAGACCTTTGAGGGGAGTCTTAGTTACCATCAAGAAAACCTGTATGAAGGAGAAGAGCTTTACAGGTATTGACCTTGGGAAAAATCTTGATCTAAAATTATCACTTATTAGAAAACCCAGAATTGTTTCCAGAGGAAGGAAACCCTGTTCACAGCAGTATTCAATTCTATTTAAACAGCTGGGAATCAACACAGTGCGTAAGTGTTACAAGTGTAGTATCTGCGGGAAAATCTTCCTCCACAGTTCTTCTCTGAGTAAACATCAGAGAATCCATACTGGAGAGAAGCTCTATAAATGTAAGGAATGTAGGAAAGCTTTTAGCCAAAGCTCATCTCTAACTCAGCACCTGAGAGTTCATACTGGAGAGAAGCCTTATATATGTAGTGAATGTGGAAAAGCCTTCAGTTTCACTACATCTCTCATTGGACATCAGAGAATGCATACTGGAGAGAGACCCTATAAATGTAATGAATGTGGAAAAACATTTAAAGGTAGTTCATCCCTTAATAATCACCAGCGAATTCATACTGGAGAAAAGCCCTATAAGTGTAATGAATGTGGGAGAGCCTTTAGCCAGTGCTCATCTCTCATTCAGCATCATAGAATTCATACTGGAGAGAAACCGTATGAATGTAGTCAGTGTGGGAAAGCCTTTACTTCAATATCGCGGCTAAGTAGACACCATAGAATTCATACTGGAGAGAAACCCTTTAATTGTAATGAGTGTGGAAAAGTATTTAGTTACCACTCAGCTCTTATTATACATCAGAGAATTCACACTGGTGAGAAACCTTATGCCTGTAAAGAATGTGGGAAAGCCTTCAGCCAAAGCTCAGCTCTTATACAACATCAAAGAATTCATACTGGAGAAAAACCTTACAAATGTAATGAATGTGGGAAAGCTTTCTCCTGGATTTCACGGCTTAATATACACAACAGAATCCATACTGGAGAGAAACCATATAACTGTAAGGAATGTGGAAAGGCCTTCAGTTCCCACTCAGCAGTTAATACTCATCGAAAAATTCATACTGGAGAGAAACCTTATAAATGTAATGACTGTGAAAAAGCCTTCAACCAAAGCTCAGCTCTCATTCAGCACCAGAGAATTCATACTGGAGAGAAACCATATAACTGTAAAGTATGTGGGAAAGCCTTTAGACAGAGTTCATCCCTTATGACACATACGAGAATTCATACAGGAGAAAAGCCTTATAAATGTAAAGAATGTGGGAAAGCTTTCAGTCAGAGCTCATCCCTTACAAATCATCAGAGGACTCATACTGGAGAAAAACTATAAGTTAAATGCATGGGGAAAAACCTTCCAACTGAAGTTAATTCCACATGAAATATCAAAGAATTCATCTTGGGGAGAAAATCATGAAGATTAGTTAATTGTGAATTAAACTTCAGAATTTAGACCTCATCAAACATCAGAGACTTTATGATGCAGGATAACCTTAGGAATATTAGGAAAGCTTCTATAAGATGTTGTTTTCATATATTCTTAAGTTATTACTGACTATAAAATAGAAAATTTGTCAGGTCAAAAGGTTAGTATTTTATTTTCTTTCTAGTGATGTATGATAACAGCCACCAGCTTTCACAGGCATCACTGGGAAGCATGTTGATTTATGGAAAAGTGCAGCCATAAAATCCAGACTTCAGATTAATCTAGTATTCTATTTTTTTGAAACTGCATTTGAGTGTTACGCAAACCAGTTGTACTAAGAAGAATGTATTGGAGAGGAAATGTAAGCAGGTGACCTGGAGCTACCTCACTGTCACTAAAATTTGTTTTTGTAAGAGTTGAAAAGCAACTTCTGTACTTGGTGGTTAAAACTTTTGAGTTATTTCTCCCCTGCTTCCTAAGCCATTCACCTGAAAGTAAAATCACTCTGTAAACTGCAGGTATAAGTCCTTTGAGTTTTCTCCCCAACTATTCCAAACTCTGAATCAGATCTAAAGTCACATGATTTCAAATCACGGAAGGCATGATATTTCACTTGTTTTTCTCATAAGTTGATTACCTTTGCTGTATTAAGCTGAGAATTAGAGGTTGTTTAGATAACTGCTTTTGCAAGTTAATTTACTGATAAATGTTGTTAAAAATCATCTTGCAATGTAGCCATAGGGAGTATGACTCTTGGCCCCCAGGTTGTACCTGCTTCCTTGAGTTCTCTGGTTACCAGCCACCAGTAAGGCCCAGGAACAACATGGAACTTGGGTTGTCCTCCTAGGAGGTCAAGTGAACAAGATAACTTTCACTCTTACATTCTACCTTCACCTCCATCACGTGATGCTCTCTCCCTCGCACACTCTGAGGGCCACTAGACAAAAATTCAGGCTCTAAGTTCAGATGCTTTTTCCTCCAAAAAATGGGCTATGTGTTTTAACAAGTTATTTATCCCAGTAAAGCATTTCTAAAATGTGAACAATAATTTGAGCAAGCTAAAAACAAGTCATACTAAAATTGTTGAGCTTCACAGAAGTTCAGAGGTTAACATCCAGTTTTGCCAATTTTATCAGGAGTAGACAAGCAGTTAAGGACAGGAATACTCATTTCATTTTAAAAACTGTTAGTTTTTTTTCTATTTGCCAAGGTGCTAAAACAAAACAAAACAAAAACTCCAAAATGTTATTATTTCGGATGGAGATTTAGCAAAGCAAAAATCAGTGAATTCAGCTTTGCCTCGGACTAATCAGTCTCATTGTTTCAGACTTGTGAGGAACAAACTCTTCTGGGTCATTTAGTACTCTACCTGCAATGTCTCTTCCCCAACAACCATTCTTTTAAATTCCCTAATTACCTAAGGAAAATTCCTAGGAAACACATAAATTCCCTATCTTAGTTTGGAGTGCTATACCAAAATACCAGAGACTGGGTAGCTTATAAACAACAGAAATTTATTTCTCACGATTATAGCTGGGGAGTCCAAGATCAAGGCACCAGCATGGCTGTATTGTGGTTAACCCTCTTCCTGGTTCATGTCTGGTGACTTCTCACTGTGTCCTCACATGGTGAGGGAGCTGTCAGGGACCTCTTTTATAAGGTCATTGATCTATTCATGAGGGAGGTACCCTCATGATCATCATCACCCAATGTCCCACTTCCTAATACCATCACCTTTGGAGTTGAATTTCAACATGAATTTTGAGGGGACACAAACTTTCAGACCATAGCATTCCCTAAGTATCAAAAGTCCTAAAATCATCAAAAAATTAAATAAAATCACACAAAATATTAAGCCTAGTTATTTTTAAGGCGAGGTCTATCAAATTTGAGTGTAACAGATTAAGTCTTTTGCAGGATCTTTCAGATGATTCTAATATAACCCAGTACCAAAATCAGACAAGGAAAATACAAGACAGAAAAATTGCAGGCCAAATCATCTATCAACAGAAATGTAAAAATCCAAACAAAGCATTAGCAAATGTAAACCAAAGTACCTAAACATAGATAACACATGATAAATACAGAATTTTCATGGGAATGCATGGGTTATTTTAACATTAGGAAACTTACAGATGCTGTGCACTACCTTAATATTAACAGAAGTCCATATGTTCATCTCAATACATGTAGGAAAAACCCCAAAATACTCAGTACCTACTCATGATAAAAACTTTTAGCCGAGCAGCAGTAGAAAGGAACTTTCTAACCAGATAAAAAGGTATTTAACAAAAAACCTGCTGAAAAAAATAATAAAAGGTTAGAAGTATTCATGACATGATGAGTATGGGGAAAGAATGAACTACCCAATAATGGTTCTAAGAAGCAGAAATGGTTCATGCACATACAAAAAAAAAAAAAAAAAATGGATGCCTACCCTCACCATATCAAGAGTTATATGATTTTGGAAGAATATGTAAGGAATAACTTTATGACCTCAAGATAGGGAAGGATTTTTTTAAACAGGATACAAATAAGGTATATAAAATATTTATATTATTTGCTCACATTGAAATAAGGAACTTATGCTTATCAAAATATACCAAAAAGGAAATGAAAAATCAAGACACAAAACAGAAGGAAATCTTTCCACAGCATGCCCAATATGTTTTCTGGAAATTTTGAATAATTTGTATGGATCAATTAAAAAGAAAAACTTGGGACTTCCCTGGTGGCACAGTGGATAAGACTCCGCACTCCCAATGCAGGGGACCTGGGTTCAATCCCTGTTCAGGGAACTAGATCCCACATGCATGCTTCAACTAGGGAGCTGGTGAGCTGCAACTACGGAGCCTGCCTGCCACAGCTAAGACCCGGCACAACCAAATAAATAGTAAAAAATAAAGAAAGAAAGAACAACAACAAAAAAGAAAAACTTAATAGAAAAAAGTGATCTGAATACATGACTACTTATTTCATAGAAGAGGAAATACAAATTTCCAAAAACATGAAAAGATGCTTAACTTCATTAGTTTAAAAATGTAGATTAGGACCACAGGCATGATTTTAAAGTACACATGAGCAAATATAAGATGTATGACAATACTGAGTTTTGGAATGTATGTGGAATAACTGGCATTCATACTCTACTAGTGGGAATATAAATTGATACAGGTCATGACATCTTGCAAAGTTGAACACCTGCTTGTTGTAATACACAGGCACCTATACATGCTACATAAATGTTTGCAGATGAGCACCAAGAATTATGTGTAAAGACATACTGATCATAATAGCAAATATTTGGAAGTAGTCTTCTGAATGTCCATTAGTAGGAGAATGGATACACTTTAGAGTATTAACACGGTAAACAGCAATGAAAATTGATGAACCAAAGCTATATACAAAACTTTGATGAATTGTAAAACATGCTGAATTCTAAAGTCATAGGAAGCTACATGTGGTATATCATTTTTTGCAAAATTAAGTTTATACTAAGTGATATGTACATGTGGTGAAGATCATAAAAACAGCAAGTGATTGGATGAGACAGTGTTTTAGTTATTGTTAACCCCCAAAATGCAGAAGACTGCAAATAAGAAAAAAGAGTTTGTTTGAGGTCCTAAGAATTGCAACTCGAGAGGCATAGATTCTAGCAGCCACTCAAATATGTTCGGAGGGAAATAAAAAATGGCTAGGGTTTATAAAAGCAACAGACAAAAACATCCCAGTAACATTATATACACGTTATTTTTAGAGAACTACGATTGGTGGCATTCAGTCACTTGGGGACAGCAGATTGGTTGCTAAGCTGTGGTCTCGAGGGAGAAAAGAAAACAAGTTCCATAAAAAAAATAAGTTCCAGATGGTCTCAGGATGGCTGTGTCAAAAGTTTATATTGCATCCGGGGGTGAATGTGTGTAAGTTCTACTTCCTTAGTGGCCTCCTGGCTCCATTTTAGATCCCTTTGACATAAGTAACTCCATTTTGTTGTTCATGGTCCACATTATCCACTACTGTGTAACAACTCTCCCCAAAATTTACTGGCTTAAAAAACAAGTTATTAATATCTGTCTTGGTTCCACGTTTGGGCTCAGCTGGGCAATTCTTACTTAGAGTGTCTAATGTGTTTGCGTTCAAGTGGCAGCTGGGGCTAAAGGCACGACTGGGCTTGATACCCAAGGTGGCGGGCCGTTGTTGATGACTGCCAGGTGGGAGCATGGTTGGGCTTCTGTGTGGCTTGAGCTTCTCACAGAAAGGTGGCTGGTTTCTGAGAGGGAGTGTCCCTAGAGCAAGCATTCTGAGCGACGTAGGTAGAAGTGGCAAATCTTATAACTCAGTTTTGGAAGTCACAACATTAATTCTGCTGAATATTATTGATCAAAAATTATTCACAGATTTGGCCCAGATTCAAGGGGAGAAGATTATAGAAGGGCATTAATACCAGGGGGCATGGTTCATTGGGTGACCATATTTGGTGACTAGCTACCACATAAACACAAAATTCTGGATGGTAATTACCTCAGGGTGTGAGGCAAGGAAATGACTTGGGAAGGAGCAGAGAATTCCTCAGCTTGCTTGATGCCTGAAAGAGGCTCCCTTGTCAAGAAGAGGCTGCCCAGGCCAGCTAGAATGATGGCCAGTGTGTATGTCAGTAAAAATAATTAAGTACAAATTTTTGGTCCAACACTGTACTGCGTGATTTGAGAGAGAATAAAGCAGACATCTTCATGCCTGATCACCCTGGATAAAGTGAACATGTAGTTTAAGATAAAGTTTAAGGAACAAATAGTTTAAGGATAAAGTTTAGGATAAAGTTTAAGATGTAATGACCTCAGATGTCGTACCAAGGGCTATTCCAAAGTGATTAACATT